TTCCCTGGTGAATATGTACAGGACGGAGCTGACTGGAATTTCAGTGAAAAGTTGTAACCACTGGGGTCCACCATCAGGTAGAAAGTGAAAACAAGCACTCATCGACAACACTGGCTAGTGCTAATCGCACTAAAATCACGAATTGGTAGAAGTTGAAATTCATGGACTGGCCACTGAATCGGGTTTTCCTGGTTGAATTAGTCTACAAGCTTTCATTGTAGACGGGAGGTCTTGAGTTCGAACCCCGATGAGTCCCGAATTAGGGCGAAACAACTGTTCACTACTATAGGTTGGCTATCAATGATTCTCTAACCGATATCAGTTTGTGGTCGGGCATGAAATTTTGTTTTGTTCGAATTAAAGTGGCATGGTACAGTACGTGAAAATAAAAATAAGACAAACGCCTTATTTGATTAAAATTTACAATTGTATCGACAAACTTACGATTTGTAATTACGCCATACACACACACACTTACACACACATAGAAATACACACACAAAAGCAATTACTGATAAGACACTGTATGACCCAAAGAAAGTGGTGACCTTTTCAAGTATGCTTAGTTTTACCAAGTATGTGTAGCAGACAGCGAAACTAAGAAAATAGTAAACGAAAAGCGAGAATGTTACGAAATTAATCCATACTTGTTCTTATTAAATCGATATTCATGTACTTAGTGTTGATAACGACTTGAAGATGAAGCAAAAATCTGAATCACAGGAGGATTCAAAACAATCAAGATGGCCTCCAATTTATTAGTCTTCCACTCTACCAACTAACAACTGTGCTACACGATCTTAACAACGCATACACGCATATATGACACTTTGACTGATCACTATTATTTTATTTCTTTTATTTGATTCATTCCTTTATGTTCCCAGTGGAACATAAGGCGGCTTCAAGCTAGAAGCTGGAAGTTTCGGCAGCAGCCTCATGCCTAACCTTCCCCCTCTTTACCAGTCTTATTACTGGCTTAGAGAGGTAATGGAGTGCGTCAGTGACCAGGGATCGAACCTGGGACCACATGTGGCGTGGTTGGCGAGCGTTCTACCACTGTGCCACAGACGCACGACTGGTCACTAGGTAGTGACTAATGCGATGCGTCTAGGGCTTTGTTTGGTTCAGACTGAATTCTATCAATAAAGTTTGGAATGTAGTTACCATACTGGATGGCTCATCATCACGGTACACTCTAAATGAATTATTGTTATTCAATAGTTGGAAAGTACTGACAGACAGCCTTAGACCTAGGTTTCGTGCTTAATATATGTGTTAAAACTTAGGCATTGTGGTAGCAAGTAATTCCATATTAGTTTGTTTATTAGATGTATCACACAATCAGTGAAACAGTATTATTTACTGGATGACACAGTTTCCAACAAAATTGATAACTGTTCATAATCATTCCATTAATTATAATCACACGACTTCGAAACTTGAGTTTTATAGTCTTCTCTGTTCTCTCCTATTTGTCGTATGGGTAGTAGAATTTTCCAGATCTCTTGGTGGACAGGTGTTGAATCATTCCTATTACACGTATTCCCTGTCAGTTGATTCGATAAACAAAGCTTCCAGTATCCATCTCTCCCTCCCTCCACTGTGTGATATTAGATTTTAAAACTGTCATCTTATACCATCCCATCCTGTTGTATGGTTGTGTTGTGTGTAATTCCATGTAGTGAGTGGTATAGCTGAACTATTCTCTAGATTTTTTATCTTATTCGGCTCAACCAATCTAGATTTTGCTGCTAGGTTTCTATGTTCAGCTGGTCTGACTGCCCTCTGTTCTACTTGTTTGACCTATGTATTTGACACCTCACAATCATTGCAGGCAGGGTATTAGATAAACTAAATTGTTTTGTTTCAACGGCTCCATAGGACTGATCCTTTAACCGACAAAGTTTGTTTCTAATTCAGTTTGTGGGCAGTTTGAAAGCCAGCCACTTTTACTCCTGCCTTGTTTAGAATTCTGCATAATGTTTCTGAGGTTCCTTCCTTGTATGGAATTACTACTGATGATTTAGATTCCTTATTCTTGGTGTCGTCATTAATATTATTATTGCTATTATAACTATCGCTACTATAATTATTTATTTCATTTTTACATTTTACATTTACATTTATACTACGCCTAAGACGACAAATAGGAGAGGACAAAGAAAACTATAAAACTCAAGTTTCGAAGTCGTGTGATCACAATTGATATGATTATGAACAATAAATTTTGTTCGAAACGTCATCCAGTAAATAATACTGTTTCACTGTGTGATATATATATATATATATATAACACATATATATATATATTAAACAAACTAATAATAGGTTTCGTGCATGCTTGGTACTGACCAGTCACCAAGGCGTATCTGCAATCATGAAAAAAATCCATGTCCTTCTTGAGATTTGCAGTCAGGTCAGGCAGTAGTGCAATCAGATACGTTACTATAGAAAGACTAGAGGTTGTAACTGACCTTCCTTTGGGACTCTAATAGATATTTTGATTGAACACTAGTTAAGTAATTAACTGACATGCATTTCGTCACTCGTGTTGGTGCAGACTGAATGCCAGTTCCACTCTTGACTCAGTAACCTAGTGAGTAACTCTGGGTCCTAGTCTAAGTGAGAACCCTATGACTCAGGTACATACAACTGACAGATCCCAAGTTATATATGTCCAAACCAAGTTCACTTTTAACAGTTTCAAAATATTTGGCTATTGGGGTATATGATTATCATTATAATAAGGGTTTTTGTATTTCCCAATGAATCAAAAAGAGCAAATCGATATTGTCGTTTTTACTGTCGTTTCGCCCGCTATTTAATGCTGCTAATAGCTTTATCAAAAGTATTATTAAACAAGAATTTACAAAATCTCACCACATATATAACAAAGAGTTAGGGGGGGGGGGGAGAAAGTAGACAAGTTAGATCAAGTTAAAAGACCGTCTTATTGAAGGTCAAAATAGCAATGAAGACCACTAAACCAAATAACAGAGGTAATAGTGTGGTGAGAGCCGGCTGCTAGCCGAAATTGGTGGACAGTAATTTACGTCAATGTTTATGTCCCAATATTGGTTGTGAGAGAAATGAGAACATAGGCTTTGCGTAGGCGGATACAGTTAGCATATAGATGATGTGACATTCAAGAAACAGTCACAAAGAGATGAAAGGTTAACTTTCTGTGAGAAACTGCCAATCAGAGGACTGTGTTTTTCTGCCAACAATAATCAATAATAATGTAAATGAAAATCTATAAATTTATGTTGATTTCCTTGATAAACGATTTGTTGCCTGGCCCTTGTCTTCTCTTGTTACAATACTACATCTGCTATGCTATCAAAACAAAGTTTACTAACTTGATCATCGTTCGTCAGTCTGGGGTCATTTTTCATTGTCAAATTGGCTGATTGGTAAAGATGACAAAATCAAGTGTAGATTGTTGGATTTTATCGGTGTGTCAAATTATAATTATAAAAGCAGTGTGTGTGTGTGTGTGTTACATAATGGCATTGCTTATCACGCATTGATGTTGATTTTGTCATTTCATAGGGGAGGGGGTGGGGGTGTTGTAACCAGGTCGAATTCTGTTTTAGTTCATCATTCACGCTATTTAGACACTTTGGATTCCCTTTGGTATGAAGTGCTGGCTTCTGATATTAGACGCTCTTTATGATTTCCGAAGTTGTTCTGGTGATGATGATTTCAATATTGTCAAAATCAATTTTTTGTCGCCTGATTCTATAGTGTGACTGATTATTTTTCCAGTTTTTTTTTAGTTCAAACGGATTTATTTCTCAGTGTTCGGACAGATACTGTGTGGTGTTCATTTCCTCTGATTTTGATTCCCCCTGGACGCGTTTTGTCCGATGTATGTCGCATCACATTCCAAGCAGGCATTTTATTTTATAGACACAATTAGATAGAAAATCTTTAGGGATTTGGTCTTTCATATGGCAAGGCTGTTTCGTAACGAATCCAAATTGTTTGAATAGGAATGATGGACTAAAACAGAATCTGACCGGGTTAAAACACCATCCCTTCCTCCATGAAGTGACAAAATCACCACAAATATGATAAGTAAGTTCAATATGTAAACACACACACACTGCTTTTTGAAATTTTACAAACTGAAAAAATCCAACAGTCTCCACTTGGTTTTGTTATCTTTACCAATTGACCCACTTGACAACGGAAAATGACCCCATACTGACGAACGATGATCAAGTATTTCACAATCTACACTTAGTTTTACGATTGGTAGATGGTGGCTAGCAGTGGAATCCAGGATAAAGCGCATTTCGTCCTATTTGGGACTCGTAGTCAGCTGGATGTACCTGCATTTCTCAGTGAGTGATGATGTTCCCACTGAGGCTCGAACCCAGCGCCCATAGTTTCAAACGCCAAAGCGTTATCCACTAGACCACTTGGGCCACACTTAGTTTTGTTATCTCTACCAGGTGACCCACTTGACAACGAAAAATGACCTCAGACTAACGAACGATGATCAAGTTAGTAAACTTTGTTTTGATACCATAGCAGATGTACTATTACCTCTGTTGTTTGGTTTAGTGATCTTCATTATTATTTTGACTTCCAATATGTTCTTTTAACTTGATCTAACTTGTCTACCTTCTCACTCCCCCCCTAACTCTTTGTTATATATGTGGTGAGATTTTGTAAATTCTTGTTTAATAATACTTTTGATAAAGCTATTAGCAGCATTAAATAGCGAAACGACAATAAAAACGACAATATCGTTTTGCCCTTTTTGATTCATTGGGAAATACAAGAAAACTTTAATTATAATGACGGATCTTAAATTGAATAAGATCCATGTAATGAGATTCCACTGATAACCGATAGGAACAACAAAAATCTACAACGCTTTAGTTTAAAAATCCGGCGCCGCCAACCCTCCCCCCCCACCGTCGCTTCAATAGATGATTAAAACTGAAAAATTCATAGAAGAAAAAGAAAATGGCGTTAATACTTACACCAGCTCGACTTTCTACAGTTGAATTCCCACCGGATGTTGTAACAGCAGCACCAGTATTACCAGTAGTAGTGGGTGGAGGTGGAGGGATTGCTTCACTGATAGCAGATAAATTCGGTAGAGCTGTACTACTTAATTTTGCTTCAATTTTACGTGCTACATTTTCAGATATCTTTTGTACTGTGATTGGATCAAGTAAGGGTTTATCATAATTCATAATTTTCGATGCTGCTATTAATTCATTATCTCTTGTGATTACCATACCATCTAAGCTGCCAACAGATATGGTGCGTTGTCGGCGTTTCTCTTCAATTATACGTTGCATAATTGATCCTCTAAAAACAAAGTAAAGACACAGAACGAGTTATTGACAAGAGAGACTAACAATCATAACCAATGATATAAAGACAAAAAAAGATGAAACTGTGACAACGGAATACAAGGGCCAGGCAACAAATCGTTTATTGAGGAAATGAACAGATATTTGTATAGTTTGAAAATCCCCAATTGAGTCATATGGAAAAGAGGAGACGTTAAGCGAAGAGACTTGTTTTTTCGACGGCAAATTCATTCACATAGCTACACAATCGCATTTATGTATAATTATGTGTGTGTGTTTACATGAGGTCCGCTCAGTCCTTCTTTATGGCTGTGAGACCTGGCCATTGAGAGTGGAAGACATGAAAAGATTAGCTGTCTTTGATCATAGGTGCCTGGACTCTATCTCCCGTGTGAAGTGATATAATGGGGCGAGCAGTTTTGAGATTAGGTAAGGAGGGGAAATGAATCGACGAAGCTGTGAAGTTACACCGATTGAGATGGTTAGGACATGTGTTACGTATTCCACCTAGTCATCGCCTTCCTCGACTGACGGGCAATGTTAGCTGACGGACATATGGTCAGGCTGGAAAAGAGCAAGCGGCGGTCAAACGAAAACATGGCACCAGTCAATGAAGTCCACAACAGTTAATTTAAGCCAACCACGTAGTGAGTTGGAGACTTCCTGGTTGGGGTCCTCGGGACGGTAAAAACCAATGGTTAGAAACAATTAGTGACATGGCTCAAAATCGTTCTCAATGGCGCAGATGCATTGATATGTAGTCACATGATGTGTGTTTTGTTTTGACAGTCTGTTATATTTTGCCATGTGTATATTGATCGACATTCCACTATAACTGACAATATGCTTTATCTGTCTACTAACTAAATAAACAACGTATGACCTTTTTGTCACATGACATTACAACCAACCAGAATCCAATCATGGTAAGATGTCTACCTTATTGGTTCATGTATATCAGTGATTTTCGTATATACTTTTGCATTGTACACTTTTATACACACTTGTTCACACTTTTCGTACACTACGTACCCTTCCACTCACACACTTGTGTAACAGTCAATTTTCCTTGTTGGAAAATATACGTATCATCCTGAACGTGGTGATCTTCTGAGTTTTCCTCTTTTCGCATCAGGACAATTAACTACTCAGCAGTACATAACATGCATGCCTCCAAGGCCTCAGGATGGTCGGGGGTGGGTGTCTCGCGCCACGGGTTAGCCACCCCTCCGTACACCTCTTGAAATGCTCCCATATAACCGGGCGTCTTACATAGCCTCTCCTGAGGAAGTCCTACTCACTGCCTTCACGTGGCGGAGTTGTTTCTCACCAAAGTGAGAGGGCGAAAGCGGATGCCCGGCGCTCTCCACCGGGTTGACTGTCCACTGGATGAAGGTCTAGGGGAGATGGCTAAACCCTGATTCCAAACCTTCAACGACTGGCGTATGAAGCTCACTGGAGCTCACCGGCAGACGTATGGACAAAGGGCTTGTTGGATGTCCTGGATGTCTGGCCCCATTCATAAAGGCGTATGAACCAGACTCCGGTCACCGGCTGGCTTCCAATGGATAGTGAACTCCCTACTCCACTCCTACTGCCTTGTAGGTCACACTTGGTTGGTTGTGTAAAGGCTAGAGCTGTACTCTCAAACAAAAGGCCGAGCGATTCTGGGGACATCACTCGTACCCAATTCCCATGAAAGTTCATCAACTCTCTTACAAACATTCGAGATGTTCATGAAGCCGGTTCATCCTCCCGTAGGAGATAGCCGAAGTAAAGTAAAAGTAAGTAAGTACATAACATGCATCCACTCCTTGTGACTTATGATTTTCAATGAAACTGTTTTATTCTTCGTTATTACTATTCCTTTGTCTCGTATACCTGTCTACTGTGTCTATTATGCATTTCTTCTACCTTCTTCTCTTTGTTTGTGTGCCACATGGAGGGAGTGTGGCGACTTGAACTACCGCACATCGGTGGAAAGTTCTATGTTGAAAATAGACAGACAGACATGAGGTTTGTCAAGTTTAGACAATTGATCAGGTAATATAAGAATGGTCTAATATAGAAACAGGGGTAATTAAACAGCGACTAAAGTAAGATTGAGTTAGTAAGTTAGATGACATAATATAATTGACTAAAATGTTTACACTTAGGTCAGGTTAGCAACAGAGGTAATTACAGGCAGAAACTAAGTAGAAACGGGGAAGAGAATAATGCCATTTAAATTAGAACTAAAATTAAGTAAATAAGTTGGATGATGTAACATAAATGACTAGAAACTGAGAGGTGGTCAAGTCAGTAACAGTGGTAATGAGGTGTAGAAATTAAATCGGGTGGGGGTAGAGAACAAGACAGTTGAAAATGTAAAATATTATAATTGAGAAGACAAAATAATACTAATAAAGAGACAGACAAAAAAAGATTAGGTAGAATTTACTTGTCGGGTAATAAGATAGATTATATCCATTGAAAGTGTAGTGATTGCACGAACTTATTCCGTATGCAGAGTTCAGGACTTAGCAAATGAATCACCATTGCTTCTGCAGTTTGAAGAAGTCTGATTCGTACACCCCTTTAGGAAGACTACTTCTTACTCTGTAGACGACTTTGAAGATTGTTTGGGGTGTAGCTTGCTGTCCGGATTCTATTAGATGTTCTAAGATGGAGCTGCGGGGGCATCGTTTTTCTCCTTTATAAAACCATGTTGGTAAGTGTTCGGTGATACGTTTGGATAGCGAACACTGGGTATGGCTGACATACTTGGCTCCACACGAGCAGGTGAATTGGTAGATACACATTGATGAGGCCAGTTTTTAGTGGTAGCTTATCCTTCATGTTCACATGAATTATAGGTTTTATGGAGAAGGTTAATCGTAGTTCAGCTGAGAAGAGGGTCTTCTTGAGTGAGCACGACAGTTGACTTTTTAGTGTTTCCGCAGATATATCTCCACTGAATTGAAGGTTCATGTAGAGTAGTTTTTTTCGGGATGCTAGGCATGGGAGGCTCTTGTGGTCTAGGATTCATAGATTTTGCAACAAATCTTTCTGGATAACAATTCTCGACGAGGATTCTCTTGAGATTGTCCAGTTCATCTTCTATGGTGTTCGGGGTGCAAATTCTGCGGACTCTGTAGCTGAGTGAACGGATCAGGTTTCGTTTGGTGTATAGGGGTACCCAACTGTGAAAGTTAGTAACCTGTCTGTTCCATGTCGACTTTCTGTAGATACATCTTTTCAGTGTTCCATCCTGTTCTCGTCTTGTTAGTTGGACGTCAAGAAAGGATATTTTGGAGTCGGACTCTTTCTCCAGCGTGAACTGAATCGCGGGGTGGCAGTTGTTAAACAACTTCAATTGTCGTCTAGATTTTCTTCATTGTTGACGATAATGAAAGTGTCATCGACGTATCTCTTATAGATTTCGAAGGTATCGATATTTATATATTTTTATGCAAATTATTATACGTTATTATAAGCAGAGAATCAGTGTCGTCTGATTGGTTGTTATTCTGCCATCTCTTAGCGGCTGTTTCTTTGAAGGTCAAACCGTATATCTGAGAATGGTATCCACCCACGCAAAGTCTGCTGTGATTGGTTGTTGAGTTATTGTTGTTTTTTCCATGATCAAGATTTAGGATGTAAACATTGACGTAAACTAATGTCTTTCAATTTTGGCGGGCAGACAGCTCTCGCCAGAAAGACGATCTGGATAGTATATATTGCAATGATGTCGAAGAACTACACACAGTCTCGAACTAATGTTACTGTCAAGCTGGAAATCGTATTTAGCATCATACCATAGTTTGAACCTAGATCTGGATTTCGCGCGTGGATGACTTATGTTTGATGTCACTGTCACAAAATCGAAGACTTACAAGCGAAAACCGACCGACAAACTGGTAGAAAAAGCAGCCAGAGAAGACAGGACTCCAGGTGAACATAGACAAGACGGAGATTATGAAAATAACCAACCAACAACAACCACAGCAGCAGCAACATCCAGTGCCAATCGCCATCAACGAGAGGGATTTGAAAGAGGTTACTTCATTCACTTATCATTTAGGTAGCATTGTCTCAACTACAGGAGGAAGAACGGACGAGGGTGTCAAATCGAACGAGAATCGAGGGGTGGGTGAGAAACACATTCAACAATCTGAAACCAATGTCACCTGGAAATCTTCGTCACTCAGCATCAACAACAAATCCAGTCGGATTTTCAATACAAATCTCAAGTCAGTCAGTTCTTCTACACGGATCAGAAACTTGGTGAGCGAGTCACAAAGAATATTTTCAACAGCCTGTTGCAGACCTTCATCAACTTACAAATGTCTTCGCTCTATACTGAAGATCAGATGGCCGGGCTGGAAAGAACCACCAACAAGAAACTATGAGAACAAACAGAACAAGAACCAATCGCCAGACAACAAATATGCAGGAGAAAGTGGAGATGGATTGGACACTCACTCGCTGAGGAGGCCACCGCTGGGTGACATCGCGCGCGCGTCAGGCCATTGCTCGAGTGGAACCAGGCCGAAAGGGAAGCGGCGAGTGGGACGTCGGTGCAAGGGTGACATGGAGGAGATGGTGTGAAGAGAGAGGAGTTGAAACAGTATGGACTAACTAACATGGATGCATGTGAAAAGTACAGCAGAAGCAAGACAGAAGTGGCAAGTGGAGACGTGCAGTTGTAGCCCTATGTTCCAATAGGAACCCAAAGAAACAATAATAATAAATAATAGTGATAAGGGTATCTGTCGACGTTTGATTACACCAAACAGCTTGTCGTCCAATAAATAGGAACCAAATGAGCTGCAGGATACCATCTGTCTAGGGAGATACTCAGTCTTTTGTTGACTATTTCCGATACAATATCATCTTTGAAATCTAATCGAATGAAGACAGCCTTTCTTCCCACTGTGATTTGTTTGTCATTTAACCCTCCACATCTTCCGTACTTCTTACTCAACATCTGGGGATAACCGTTGTCACTCAAAA